AGTGTAATTACATTATTATAATTAATTTTATTTTTTTTATTTTTTTATTATCTTTTATAAAATTAATAACTTTAATAATAAAAAATAAAAATATTTTAAAAAATACACTTATTTGTTTTTAAACATGTCTTTATTAGTCATTTAATATTAAACAATAACCACTAATTATTGTATAACTAAACAGTTATATTTATCAAATCCGTTATTTATCATCCGCTACCCACTTTCCACTATCCGCCATCCGCTATCCGCTATTTGCTAACCATCATCCGCTATCCGCTATCCGCTACCGCTATTCGTTATTCGCTATCCGTTACTCGCTATTCACTAAATTTTAACCGTTGTACCAAATAGGCCCTTAGGGTGACACTTTATCATGACATGGCAGACAACATGGCCACCGTAAAGGGATTTAAAGAATTAGGGGAGATAGTGAAATGATTTCAAATCCCTAGGACAATATTAGTGTGGGCTAGCAATAAAAGTGAAAGGACATGTTCGGTGTCAAGAACTAGATGGATACTAGTATACATGGATCATTTTGACCTCGGCTTATGGTTTCCTTTACCTAAACTGATTTTTTATGTACTTGCATAGTGCAAGTTAGCACTGATGCAACTGACACCGAATAGCATAAAGTTTGTCATAGGGTTCATGTTATTATGGGCACGATTGGGAATACTTGCAAAGGTTGTGGTGTTCAGGTTGCTTTTTCAATACAGGTTGAGTAGTAACCAAGTGAGGTGGTGCTACATTTCTGGGAGGGGGAAGATGATGCTTTTTACCAATGTGAAAAATAAGGTTGCTAGATAGAAAAGGCAGTCTAGTTTTGTTTGTGATATATGAACGAAGAGCGTGAATAACGAACTGGCTGCCCACATCTCTGAGTGGCAGATAGCCCAGACTTATATGAACTATCCCACGCTAGTGCCACATGATGTGGATTTAAAGAACGCGCTGTTAGATTATGTGAAGGAGAAGGGATTGGTGGATTTGGAAGCCCTAGTTACCCCTAACCAGTTAGCCGTGTTTAGGTTTGTGGATACCACAAACTTATATGCCAAAGGTATATTTCTTTTATAAATTTCAATTATTAACCAAGTTGAGTCTTATTGCATTTATTTGTGTAGGAGAAATGAGTAGAATGTTGGAAAGGCAACGTGAACGGGCACAAAGGTCAAGAAGTAGGTGAATGGGTTCTAGCTCGCATAGGTAGACTCGTTTTGACAAGAGACCATCAGATCCACCTTGGAGCTTGTCTCACAAGGAGCGAGGCTCCAGCTCAACATCAAAGGTGTGTGCCAAGCAAAGAGTTGAAACATTACCCTTAGACTCTCGCAGGCATGCACGCGAAGATGTGGATGTTGATGATGATGTACCACCTCTCGTGCGGTAGCAGTCTAACTCTAGAGTTCAGTCCATTATTGCGCATTCCTCTGACGCACCTCCTGCATTGAGAAGAAGTGATGTTGAAGCTAGGTCAGCACAAACATAGGTGTTCGGTCCTAGGATTGCATACCTTAAAGGTTTCAATTATACGAAGTCGAAATGTCACACTATAATGCTGCGAGGTATGCATACCTCCATCCCTCTTGTGGATTGGCAATGCGCCAAAGGCTATGTGCAACAGAACGATGACCATGCTGCCATGCTAAAATTGATGGATGTAAGCATTGTAAATGATTGTTTGTGCTGAATATCTTATATATTTAAAGATAACGACACGACCTAGGTGGCAGGCTTTTAGTTACACGTGGCACTATTCGAGACTGACCAGGGGGCACGAGACCAAACGCAAGAGCTTGTAGAAAGCTATAAGTAGCTTACTTCTAAGAAGGCCAGCGCAGAGGAGGAAGTGAATGGTTTGTAGAGCTTTGAAATGGCTAATAGAGCTACATCTGCTATGAGCCGAGTAGAGGGGTTGGTTGATAAAGTGAATGAGCTGAAAGAAGAGCTTGAGAAGGCTCAAGTAGAGAGAGAGAAAGAGAGAGAGAGTGGAATCTCAACCGCCAAACAAGAGGTGAAGCATGCTAAAGAGTGCGCAATGAGGGCTGAAGCGAAAAGGGATAACGCTATAAACAAGCTAAACTCCTTGAGATCGAGAGTGGCCAAGGCTAATCAAGAACTTGGGCATGTGCAAATGGCGATGAATGAAATGAAAACGTCATTTTGACATTCGATTGACATTGCTTGTGCCTAGGGGGCTCAATGGCTAGTTGACTCAAACGCGTTTTAGGATGCTATGGGTATTGCATCGATGACCACAATGATGTAAGTGAGCCTATTGAGTTGAACCCATTATGAATGTTGGGCTTGCTCCCTAACAATTCCTTCTTCCTTTTTCTCTATCGTCGTGTTTCATATTTCGTCATTATCTTTCTCACCATGAAATTGTAAGAAAGAAAGAAATGATTGAAAGTATCTTAATGTTATCTTTCGTAGCTTACTTAAATCAATCGTGGACAAGTTGTTTCATTTTTTGCCTTGCATCATTCTTCCTTCTAGTTCTAATTGATTATCAAAATTTTTCTCCCACATTGTCTTTTCTAGATATCTATACAAACACGACAATCATTCTTTCTCACTTCGGTACTCATTTTTGGTCTTGATATTTTTAAATAAAGTTGATATCACCACATCTTCTAATTTTTAAATGTTATAATGATGGCTTACGAGTGTGATGGCTAGGCTTAATATGATCGTTCAAGTCATTAGTATCTAATTTAATATCAAGATTAGGGATGGAGCCAACGAAGGACAAGGGAGGGCAGTTGCCACCCTAAGCTTTTGAAAAACATTTAATATGGTACTCTAACTTTCATTTGTTAAAAATTTTGTTTTTATAGTATGAATTTTAAGGACCATTTTAAATGAAAAGAAAATATTTAGGATCTAAATAAAATTTTTTCAAAAATAGGGATATAATTCAAGTAAAATGAATTTATGGTAATTAATTAATTAAGAATTAGGGTTTTTAAATATTTTTTCATCTATTAAACCCCCACAAAAACTTTAATTATCTATTTAAACAACTTTAAATTTATAGTTTTCTTTAGTATTCTTTTATTTTTTTTCTTAATATTCTATATAAAAATTTAAAGTGTTTTCCTGTTGACATAGACATTCTTACCTTCTATGATTGAATTTATAATCTTTTATTTTTGTTAAATCAATCTAAATTAGAGTTCATTTCTAAAAGAAATATTTTAGTATTTTTTCATAAAATTAGTGTTTATCAATATGATTTCCAAAAAAATTTAGAGGAAAATACCTCAAACTTTATTGCTTCAATAAAATCAAAACACTCTCTGATTCCAACTTTAAGAATATGTTATTTTTATCTTTTTTAATTCAAGTTTATTAAAACAATTTAATTTTGTGTTTTTCTTCATAATTTGTTAATGATTTAACTAACTAACAAACACATTTCTCTTTCTTCTTTTTTTTTTCAATTGATTCTTGTATAATTTATTACTATAATATTTCATTTTTTATCATAATTAAAAAATACAGTTATTCTTAGTATTTGTTAAGAATATATCAATGAAAAAGATCACAAACAAATCTTTTTATAAGAAAAAAAAATTTAAGGAAACGAATTAGTGTCATATAAAATACCCTTAAGAACTCAGATCTTCAACAACAAATTTCGCCCACCTAACCAAATTTTATGGCTCCGTCCCTGATAAAGATATGCATAGAGCTATACAAAATATATGCATCAAAATCAACTTTAATTAGTTATAAAATGTTGCCAAATAATTTAGTATCAAACATAATATTAAGATATGCATATAACCATACAAAGTATAGACATCCAAACCACTTCAATTAATTATAAAAAATTACTAAATAACTTATTTTTCTTTTTTAATAATAACTTTCTAACTTCTATATGTATCATTTTTTCAATTTAAATTAATACTACTTTAATTAAATAACTTCAATTCAATAAACAAACAACGTCACCTGGTTGATGGGTTAGTCGAACTAGTTTTATTTAAACCATAAGAATGGGGCTGCACAGCAGCATCCCCTCACCCGCGTGGGTTCTGCAGTAGCACCCCGCAATTATAGTGAAGTGTTTCTTCTTCT